AAGTCCTTGTCCCATACCTTTTTGGTAATACTTGAATGTCCTGTCCCTTTAACTGGGTGAGAATTACTAAGAAATATGGGGATTCAAATTATTTTTGGCTCTCCTATTTTTGGCTTTCCTTACTGACCCTCCTATTAAACACCCCAGGGTGGGGGCCACTGACATGCCTGAAAAGGCTATTACCTTCACCACAGTAGTGATTAAGCTAAAAGATACTCATGCTTTCCTACAATTTAAATAGTATTTTCTTTGGCCTGAAGCCCCAAGCTACCACCTTAAATATAAGTTCCTTCACTATGGGCTATTACTGCCTTGTCAGTCATTTTATAATACCCCAGTTTTAGCTATCAAGAAGACCGTGATAAATGAGGAGGTTATTCCTGTACATCTAGCTCTCCCTAACCCCTATACTCTGCTGGGCCAGATTCCTTCAATTAGCCAATGGTTTATAGTCCTAGACCTTAAAGATGTTTTCTTTTGCATTCCATAGCATCTGAGTCCCAATTCCATTTTGTCTTTGAGTGGGATAACAAGTTGGGTTAGAGCAAACAGCTTACCTGAACTGTCCTTCCTCAAGGATTCAGGAATAGTCCCCATACTTTTGAACAGGCTTTAGCCAGGAATTTAAGTGACTTAATGTTAATGGATTGGGCTATCATACAATATATGCATAATCTTTTTATCTGTCTCCTATCTCTAACAGTGACACAAGATCATTTGGTTCAGACTTTAAATTCCCTGGCTGACAGGAGATATTAAGTTGCCAAGCTGAAGGTCCAATTACTGCCCCAAATATTCCACTACTCAAGAGTTTGTTTTAGGGGTTTGAGCTTTCTCAACAAAGTGTATGCAGGCCATTCAAGACCTTCCAGCCTCTAGTACCAGAAAACAACTTTGTGCTTTCCTAGGAAATAATCAAACTCCCTTTTCCTGTAAATAGGAACAACAGGCTAACGATGAATTAAAATCCTCTCCTCAAAGCCCGTTTTGGGACTGCCACAACCTGATGAATCAGTAAATAAACATCAAGATGTGGCTCTAGGGGTTCTTACTCAGGCCCTAGAGACTATTCAAATGCCTTCAGGATACTTATCAAAACAGCTAAACACAGTACCCAGGGTTGACCAAGATGTATAAAGGCAATAACTTTGTGTTTTAGTAGAGGAATCCCTTAAGGTTACTTTGGTCTACTATTCCTTATCAAGTGATTTCCCTGTTAAAATGTAAAGGTTGTCTTCTCAATCTTGCTACTTTGCTTCCTACTCCTGAGCTCAATTTTTCTGACCAGGAGGGAAATAACACTAAGGTTGTCCATGATTGTCTTGATATTATCATTCTAACTTGTGCTAGCCAACTAGACCTTTAACACCAGCCTCTTGATAACTCAGATGTAATGTCGTTTACTTATGGTAGTACCTATGTAAAAGAGGGCAATAGACAAGTTGGTTATTGTACAGTTTCTCTTAAAGACACTACATACTGAGACCCAGCCTTTGCCTGCAGGCACAACTGGTCCAAACAATTGCTTTGACTCCTACCTTAGAGCTCAGTAAGAATAAATGAGCCACAATATACACTGACTCCAAATATGTCTTTCTAGTGCTGCATGCTCGTATTTCTATTTGGAAAAAAAGACAGCAGAGCAGAAAGTTTAAATAATAAGTAGAAAAGAGGACATATAAAGAAAGATATGAGTGTAAGGAATTTTTTAGTTAAAAAAGGACAAAGGAAAAGCACATTTGGGATAAGAAAGAATCTTGCATGTTGAGATTCTACCCTACTAGAATAAAAAAAAGATGAGGACAAAAATCAGAAAGTTAATTAAAGTCAGCATTCTAAGTACAAAAAGGTCACGAGAAATAAAGCTTATAAAAATAAATTTGTGTGTATGATTATTCTTTTTTTTCTCTGTTGGTTTTGTGCCTCAAGAGCCACTCCTTTATACTTCTTTATTGCTCACATGTCAGTTACTTCCTCTCCAATGTGGGACCAGAAAAGACCAGCAACCAAAACAACATTCCTGTGATGAGGGACAATTCTGGCTTTATCAAAAACACTCGTAAGGGGCCGGGGATTTAGCTCAGCGGTTCGGTGGCCTGCCTTGCGAGCGCAAGAACCCGAGTTCAATCCCCGGTACCGAAAAAAAAAGTTAAAAAAAAACAAACACTCGTAAGCCCCATAGAGGACCACAAGCACCTGTTGAAAGGACTAACCCACCAATGAGATAAATAATGTGGTGACAGTATTACTGGGGGGGTTATTTTATGACTGCTATAAACCAAACCTCCCCTGGGGAATCATCTCTTATGCTCTTGTTAGATCTGACTTGACCCCTGTATATACAAAAACCCCTCTCTATTAGCCTAAAACTTTAATTCCCATTAAAGCATATAAAGAGGGTCCACAAGGTCAACAGTTAACACCTCTTTGAAAGGGCCCTTTCTCAGCAATTCCTTCTTCTCTAATAGCTATCGAAGTTTCAGAACAGCCAGATGGACCCACCATTCCTGAGTCAAACCTTGGGAGAAGTCCCTACAGAGACCCCCAAACACCCTGGGAGAGCCAATGGTTGGGAGATTTGAAATATCTGTCCAAGCACACTTCAGTTATATAAAGCCCTCACCATCCCTGCTGTACCTTTCAACAGAAGGCTGTGTGCATCTTGGGCATTTTTCTTCCAATCAGAACTTAGATTAAAATTACCCTTCTGCTCATTTGTGCTTCCATGGGGTATGAGTTTATGTACTTAGTGGTGCCTATAAGAGGCCTTATAAAACTCGTTATAGAAAACTTAATTGCCATCCCCTTTGTTTAACTATTTCTGATGAATATTTTTGTCCCTAATCTGCCCTGTAGGGCTTAAAACAAGAAGCCTTGGTCATGTCAGATTCCAATCAGCTTTGGGAAAATGATACGGCTTGCCATTTTGTATCACCTTGGTGAAAATGCCAATCCATTTTCAGATGGTCCTAAACTCTTCTGGCCCAACTATCTATAAATGGATGCTTTGATCAACCCTCCAGGCCTGAAAGTCAGTAAGAATTAGGACCCTAATTCCCTTCAATACAACCTCCCAATAGGAAGTAGCTACAATGATTTGGTATTCCCAGTACTCTAAATGATTTTAGGGTCCCATCTCTCAAGAGGGGGAGTGTTAGGTAGTTAAACATTAGCTGAGTACTAGTTACAGTTAAGTAAAGAAACAAAGGCCTCAATGTATAATACATTTATAATCATATATTAGATCTCAGACCCAAAGACACAGGGCCTGTATTTCTAGAACAAGGCATACAGCATTCCTGGATGCCGTAGCCTACAGCCCAATGATATCAGGAAAGGAAATGTTCTTTAAAGACCCTCTCACCTTGAGATGGTACCTGGTTTAAATAAAGAACTTATTTTTTCATAAATCTCTTCTGTATGTTTCTTATATGTTTAACTCCCCTGAGGAAACATTAACTATCTAAAAAGGACAGGAAGACATTTTTCAATTCTAAACTTCTAAGGAAAGTGTTGATAAGTATCATAATTACCCCCTAGTTCCCAAAACCACAGGAGTAGCTCTTGTGTGCATAAAAATATCCAGACTCACATGGTGCAGGTGCTGCTGTGGCACTGCCTGCCTTCTCACTTGAGGGCATAACTCTCTATATATATCTACTTTACAATAAATTCTACCTGGACTTATCCATGACCACATACTTCTTTTGACAGAATTCTTTGATCAATGGCACAAATAACAGAGGACCAAGGAAGTGAGATGCTGGTTCCCTACTGTATCAGCACCCAACTTCCTGCTGAGACAAGTGAATCTAAATGTGAAAAATGAAATGAAACCATACATATACCAGCAAAGCAGCAAGGATGAATGTCCCTAGAACCTGTTTATAGGGAAAGAAAGACTTCATGCCTTTAAATCCACAGGCAATATAAAAATGTACTAAATATAAGGATATAAATTTTATAAACTTTTTTACATTTCTAAGACAAAAGTCTATGACAAATAAGGTCAAGAAACATCTGACAAACAGCAAAAACATTTGCAACATATGCCACAGATAAAAAGCTAACATCTACAATACATAAAGTCCTCTTAAACAGTGATCAAACACCATTAGATAAAGCAAGGGAAAGACATAAAATATAATAAAAAGATACAAAATGGTCCCCAAATAAATTTTAAAATGTTCAAACTCAACCTCAGAGAAATGCTAAGTAACAATGAAGAACCATTTCTAATCTATCAGCATGACAAAAAAATGTTTGAGTGGCAAAAATAGTTGGCGAATCTTTGGTGAGTCAGAATATTTGTAAGGCTCCATAAGTGATTCTAATGTGCAGCTAAAATTGCAAAGCATTGATTTAGGGGGCAATGGTCCAAATGGAAACTTCATAAAACAAAAAACTACATTCTCCCTAAAACTGAAAGTGCTTCACACTTGAAATTTTAACAATCCTTAGCCAGCATGGTGATTAAATGTACACACACACACACACACACACACACACCACAATGTTTGTTTTTGGACAAACGTCAGCAAGTTTGTTACATACCACTGAAGCTTTTCTAACTCTTCTGGTGAGGAAGGGCAGGGTGTCCTGACAGAACAGCAACACTGTTCTGAAGGAGACATAAAAGAAAAGGAAAGAGAAAATGCACGGTCAAAAATTAAAAAAAAAAACAAGGTGAAAGTCCATACCCATCAAGTACAAGGTTCTTATACTCATTGTGTTTTGAAGGGTGATCACCTATAACTGGTGAAAATATTAACTGGATACCTTTATATTGACAATCATATGTACACAGTAAGTGCTTAAATATGAGTAAATATTTTTTTCTCTTTTGGTTATGTGCATGCAATACCAGTCATTCTTCAGGAACCCTAAGAGGAATTCTGAAGCACACGTTATCCTACAGAACTTTATGTTAAGTGAAATAAGCCAGGCACAGAAAGAGAAATACCGCATGATGTCACTCATGTGGAATCTACAAAAGTCTAACTCATAGAAACAGAATGAAATGGTGGTTCCCAGAAGACTAGGGTGGGAAGACTTAGGAAATGTTGGTTCAAGCACACAAAATTTTGTTAAAGGAATAAGTTTGAGAGATTCATTCGGCAACATGATGACTATAGTTACTAAACAATATACTGTATACCTGGAATATTGCTGAGAGTAGATTTTAAATGTTCTCACCACAAAATATAAGTATGTGAAGCAATGCATATGTTAAATAGCTTGAATTAGCCATTCCACAATACAGATCAAAACATCATGTTGTACACCATAAACATAAATGTTTACTTGTCAATTAAAAAAAGGAAGCAAGCATATCCCTGTAGCAATCCACTGAACATTCCAAACAGAATTCTCTCTTGTAAGGTTTGTGTTTATCATGTTTTCAGATGATTTACTGAAACTTTATAAGAAAGCAGAAAAATTAATGGTCTTTCTGAAAATTGCCTAAGGACAAAGGAGTCAACAGAAAGCTAAAACATATGTAAATTTATTAATTACATTTTCAATTAAAACACACTAAAAGTGATGTGAAAACTAACAGCAATAAAGATAGTGACAACTTACCCATCGGTTGAATCGGTATTCTTCCAAAAGCAACCATTATAGCACACACATTCGTTGTCTTATTTAGTTTTATTGTGAATGTACAATTTAATGTGCTGTAAGGAGAGATATACATAGTCAGAATGTTACTAAATTGGAAACATACCTATATATTTGTAATTACTTTTGTGAACTCAGTGTAAGGAAAAGGACCACTGAGGGTTAACTTGTAATGCCACCCAAAATAAGCTTGTAACACTCATCTAACATGGTCTGAACTTTACCCCAAAGACTTTATCTCTACTAAGAAACATTTAGAGAAGTTTACATTCACAGATATTATACACCAGAGACCTTCTGAGCACACACAGCTACTGGTTTCTTTTGCCTGCCTGCATAATGAATAGGCAGGGGTGAAACCTGGCTGCACAAACAAGCACCTTGACACCTTTAGTCTTACCCCTAGCTGGCTACTTGCCTGGGATACACAGGCACTTGCATTTCCATCATGACTGCCCTTTCACAAAGCAGCCTAAATGAACACCAAGGTCTCTTAAATCCCAAATATGTCTGGCAATTGAATCTAAATTATCAGATAGCTAAGAATTTAAGATATTCTTTCAGTTTCTTTCTACTTGAGCATTGGCACAGGTGAAAAAAAATTAATGTTGCAAATAACAAAAATAGGTAAGAGGAGAGACCAAATACACATAGTGGATAGGGACCCAGTATACAATTTGGAGGGCTTAACATGGTTTGTACCAATGAATAGTTTGTTGAGTGGAAACTCATTTTCTAGGACTGGATCTTATGGAATGTTCAAGAAGTGTGATTATTCTTTTATAAACTAGTAGCTTATGCAGCCAGGACAGGAAGTGGCTAGGATTTAAAATGGTTATCTGTGCAATCCCAAATAATTGTTGGACAATCTTCTGATTCACTCTTCCACACATTTTAATTGCTTCTTTTTCTTTCCAACCTTTTCCTTCCTCCTTTCTCCTTATCCCAAGTTCCATACTATGTTTCTTCATTTTTGTTTGGTCTCTTCACTCTGCCTGGACCACCTGTGAGCCATTGCTTGGCCATCCTGGTAACCCTCAGAGCTAAGGACCCTGATGATCTTTAGCCTTGTAGAACCAGAAGTTAATGACTTGATATCACACACTCCCTCAGATATGACAGATTGATCAATATTTGGAAAAATAAAAATATAAAAATCATAAGTGTCACTAACATGTATTTATGTTAGAAGACAGCCTTTGAATTTGCAATTTAAGACACCTTCATACTTTATTTTTCACAAATGGAGAAACAATGGCTTTTGTAAAAGAATTTAAAATGACTAACCTTTGGTCCTCCTCTGTAGCACACACTATAAAATAAGCCTGAAAAAAACAAACAAAAATATATGCTATTTTGACAGTTGGGAATATCAGAAAAGATAACTCAGGGCTAATCACAGTTTAGAACGACAAGAACCATTAGATGTATTAGCTTCACACTCCTGATGGATTCCTGATACATCATAAAAACTTTTCAGTCCATATGAGTTCTGCTTGGACACCTCCAGTACCATCCATACACAAGGAACACATTCTCCTGGAGCTTTAATTTTAAGAAACTTTTGGTCTTACATAAAAGAAAATCTACTTCCTTGTAATGTGTACCCATTGCTCCTAGTTCTGTTTTTTGGAACAACGGAACTAGACCATTCACTCTTTTACACAAAAGATTTGGGGAAATTTGAATGCATATTTCCCTGTGAATGCAGAACTCTGTGCTTTTCTCCAAATAATAACTATTTTATAAACAATGTACAAGGTTTAGCATAATTACCTCACTTAGAGTTTGTAGGGTTTTGTTGAGCTCTGACCGCCTGTTAATAAAATGAAAGAAACTGACATTAAGGAGATCATTAGTAAGGTGAAATTCAAAACAAGTTAGATTTTTAGCAATTAAATCAAGCACAAGGTATTTACTGCTTACATTGTTCCCTTTGAAGAAAAAGAAAGAATAATGAGAAGTTGCTATGCAGGAAAAATAAATTATTTATACTACAAGGGAAACTAACCAGACAGGAGTTGGATCAGTTCTAGCTAAAACAAGATGTAAATTATAGTTGAGCAACCTTGTTATTCATTGGACTACTATAACGCCCCCCTCCAGGCATTTTCTTCTGGCAGAGAATTAGAGGAAGAATAGGCCTGAGGCAGAAATTTCTGAGTGGGGCAAGCCATGCACCCCATGCTTTTGATTGATTCTTCATTCCCTCTTCAACTTATGCAGCTTCTCTAGCACTCTCCAGGGCTGCCTTCCATACCTTCTGAAGCCCCTCTAGGAATTTTTTTCATTCCTCTGTCCAACCACCATTCCAACAATATTTTCATTTCCTCAGCATTGCAGAGATTCACTGAAGTTTGTATGAAAGAAATCTAGCTAAAGAATTCAATCTAAGGCAGTCGTTCTTAACAGAGGATGACTGTCCCTCCAGGGATAGACATTTGACAATATCTGGAAGCAATATCTTTAGTAGTTACACTGGGGAGAGTGCTACTGACATCTAGTGAGCAGAGGCCACAGATGTTGTTAAATAGTCTACACTGCACAGGGCAGCCCACCACAACAAAGAATCATCAAGCCCCAAATGTCAGTAGTGCTGAAGCTGAGAAGCCATGCTCCTAGAAATGGGCAATAGTTCTAGGAGACTCTGGGAAAGGTCTGCAAGGAAAAAGAGAAAGACCATGGCAACAGCCAGTCAGCTCCTCAGGGCCACTTTCTTGGGGTGGCGGGGGGAGGGTCAATGGCCCCTCTAGTCAGGGCTAACTGCTGCTCCTATTCTACTTTCAGATCCATTAGAATGTTCTTTGGTACCCTGTAAATATCACCTTTCTGAAGTTACTGCTCTTAATGACAGAGTAAGACTGTCTGTAGCATAGGCCACCCCACTGGCTGATACTTCCACCTATGGTCTCACAGGGAGCACTCATTTGTAATGTTTTCTCATTATCTGCATTTGACCTTGTAAGCTGAAGCCTACTTACCAAAGATATCTCTCTGACCTTTCACTCATTGATGGTTCATGAAGACATGAGTCCTGCCTTGAATCCGTCTTTCAATTATGCTGGATACTGAGTCACATTAAAACTCAAATACCAATTCAAATGAAGCTGTCGTGTAACTCAGAGTATTGGAAAGCCAGTCAACGACAGGTAACTGGTTAGTTTGCAAAGTAGGTAAGAATGAACTAGCACTACATCCTTTGGATGTGAAATTTTAAGTCAAACAGCAGATTACTTACTTCAATTCATTTAGTGACAGGACTCCAGTGAGGGTGATATTGGCTATATTTTGGTTCTGTTGAAAGCAAAAAATCATTAAGAACATAACAAGAAGCATTTAGTGTTGATTTTTTTATGTACTAACAGGAAGTTGTTCTTCATTTTTATTGACCACCTAAAGAACTATACCTCAAAGACTGAGTTCTAACTCTAGAATACTGTCTACTAGATAATTACATTACAGTTACATAGAAAGGGAGGGGAGGGGAAAAGTGCTGCTCAAAAGTTAGTGGGTATTAGCTGAAACTGTAACTGGTTTATTATTATTTTTAAAATTTCTAAGCCAGCAGTTCTGATCAGCTAATTTCTGTCTTACTTCATTCAAGGGTTCCCAAAAAAGAACACCATCAGAGCTTTCTCCATGGCAACTCCCAATGTCATAAGAAGGGAAACTTAATAGTAGCCATCGCTGCCATTTCTAGCATCCAGTTCATCGCCTGACACATAGTAGGTGTTCAGGAAATAGTCACTGAACAAGCGCATTTGACTGGAATACTCTGAATCAATGTTAGGTTATGGGAAGACTGCTATCACCAGATTGAACACAATCCAATTTGGAAGGTTATTCTTAGGCTCAATACACATATTTCTTGTTGCTTGGAATTTCTTAGGTAATCTAAAATTTTAACTGGTAATTGAATTGCATTATAATAACAATCAGTATGAAACAGTGAAAACTAAAATAGAATTATTAACAAAGCACCATGATTATTACGAATAGTTAGGAATTCAATAATACAGATTTTACTTATATTTGGTCATAAAATTTAAAATGCCAAGGCCAGGAATTTAGCTCAGTGGTTCCACCTTCTGCCTTGCAAATGCAAGGACCAGAGTCTGATCCCTGAAAATTTTATTTTTCATGATTTCAGTAAGAAAAATTAAAACCTACCTGGGTAATGTTGGGTTCTTTGTCTTGAAATGTAATCTCACCTCTGTAGAATACTAAAAATAAAATTTCAACAAGAAATTTGAGATTTGTATCTTTACAATTTGAGGATTAATACATGTAAAAATATTACCAAACTGCTTTATAAACAGTTTCATCGAGTTCTTTGTTTTTACTACCATGTATTCTCTTTCCAATCAATTAGCTACCTAATAATTACTAACATAATTTTCACAAACTATGAACTATAATTTTATGTGGGGAAATCAGAAAGACAGAAACTTGCCCTTGTCAGTAAATTTTTATCCTTATGTTCCTCTTTATGGAACTTTATTTCCCTTAAAGGTAACTGGTGGCTCTAATGTTAACTTAAAAAAATCTTTTCAAGTTTCAGTGACAGTTACATAGATGAGAGAAGGAAGGAAATGGGGTTTCTCACAAGTTAAACAGTCTTACTGAAGTATATTTATACTTTGCCAGTTTTAAATTTTGTTTTTATTATTAAAATACAGTTACTAAATGCAGTATGGTGCCTAGAACATGGCTGAGATTTTGCTTTGGAATGTGAATAGTGTGCAGGGTGAACCATCTCTTCAGATGAACAAGTCAATGTTGCTTTCGCTCCAGAAACATTAAAAATACATTTTTCTTAAAATGCTCACTTTTGGAAATATTAAATTTAATTTCAGTCAATTTATGTCCCACAGGGCACTCCTAGGGGCTTTGACTGTAACTAGAAACAAATAGAGATCTGCAAACAGAGGCATATGGTATGCACTCCACACAGAGACCAAAAATTGGTCTCTTGAGCAATGGCGCAAGGACGTTGTATAAACCGAAGCAGTGTCCAGGCAATGTTTCTGTGTTTTAGCTTTCACTATGTTTGCTACTGAATAAGGCCAGTTAGCAAATACTTGAGATTTTATGGATCATACAAACTCTGTGGGAACTTCCCAAATCTGCATGCAAGCGGCCATAGACAATTTGTAAGTAAATGGGCATGACTATGTGCCAATAAAACTTTATTTACAAAAACAGATGTCTGGCCAGGCATGGTGGTGCACGCCTGTAATTCTAGCACTTGGGAGGCTGAAGCAAAAGGATCGCTGCGAGTTTGAGGCCAGCCTGGGCTATGTAGTGAGTTCAAGGCCAGCCTGAACTACACGATGAGACCTTGTCACAAAACAAAACAAAACAAAACAACGAAACAAAACAACAAAACAAAACAAAACCAGATGGCTGACAACATCTGGTTGGTCTACCCCCCTGACAGATTGGAAGTGCTGCTGCTGTCACTACCTCCTCCTCCTCCCTCTTCTTTTTTTCTTAGGTATTTGGCATTGAACTCAGGGCCTTTGCACTGAGCTATCACTGTCTTATTTTGAGACAGGGTCTAAGTTGCTAAGTTGCCTAGGCTGTGATTCTCTTGCCTCAGCCTCTCAGAGTCCTGGGACATAAGAATGCTCATTTTCTTTTACTGCACTCCAAAGTACAACTGATTCTCATAGCTATATAGCCTATGGTTTACTTCCGCTTATTAATGGCTGGCAAAACCACTGGATGAATGATTAACATGATTTACTTCATCAACTTTTTTACTGAGAACTTCAACTTTTACATATTCATATTGAAATTTCAATTAATACAGTATAATTAAAAGCAAAATTAGTTTATATCTATGAAAAATTATTTAGCCATTTAAAAAATCTTAGCTTTTAAAAGACTATTTAGGTTTTCTGCATGTGCATGCACCTGCCACTCAAAGCCTGCCTCCCTCTTCGTGTTGAATGCATGGAGAGTTTGTAAATGTGCAGGGAGCACAGTGGTTTTGGTTGCACAGGATAAGAGGCCACTGTTTTTTGACCCTCAGTGTAACTCTTCTTGATCACCTCCCAGCTTCTTCATCAACCTCCATTTCCTTTCATAGACACAGACTGGAAAGCTGCAAGAACCAAAAGTTTCTAGTTTCTGGCAGGATATCATGGGGTTTTTGGTGCCAAAAGATCTGGTTCCCAGATGAGGCTGCTTTCACCAGAAACTACAACAAATGGTCAGTTCGGTCAAACCTTACTCCCACCAGCTTTCTGGCATGTTACTAAAGACGACCAGACTTTTTTCCCTTATATGCTTCAAACACTTTTCAAAACTCACGTAGATGCAACGGAACTAGTCACCAGGCCAAAACACAGATAAGCACAAACAATAATGACATTATGGGGAATTCAGTAAAAAAGAAGGTTAAGATCAAAGAAGGAAGGAGGAGGAAAAGGGAAGAGAAAGTTATACAATATATGAAAATAAAATGTGTCCAATAAGTTTTCTTGTTTTCTTAATCAAAACCAGCTAATAGTCTATTGGGAGCACAATGTCAGCAGAAAACCCAAGTGAACAAATCTTACACCACATATTAGAAAAAGTTTGTGAAACATTCTTTTCGTAAGAAATGTTATTTTTCTACCTATCCAACTTTAATGTATTTCATTTGAAATTGTTACCTGTTATGGTTTATACCTAGATGTTCCTCAAGAGGATCCTGTGCTCACACGTGGGGCTTTCAGGTGACTGGAGCGTGGGGCTTATACTTGACTTGGTATTAGGGCTTCCTCTGGTCGGAAGAGTCAGTCGTGGTGGGAACATGGTGTAGAAGAGTTTATCTCCTTCCTCAGCTCCTCCCTTTGTTCTCTGCTTCCTGTCTACCATGCCATAGGCAGCTCTCCTCCACCACAGCCTTTTGTCACTATGCCCCTCTGCCACGCGGCCCTAGCTTGGAGCCAGCTGACTGTGGACTAAATGTGAGCAAAAATAAACCTCTCCTCCCTTAAATTGTGGGTGTTGGGTATTGTGCCCCTGCAATGAGAACATGACTAAGACTCTACCTATGTATTTCAAACAAATTATAAACTATCGCAAGGAACAAAATGAAAGAAAAATTCCTATAATGATTGTTTATTACTAGAGTTCTATCAAGGCTTTAATATAAGATACCATGTTACTTCCTCCTCTTTCTTCCCATGATGCATATCCAGCTCTCTTCCTATGACCTCCCTATCAGACCATATTTTTTGTTTTTCACATTTATTATCATTGGTTTTAATAAGGAAGGGAGCCCAGAGAGCCAAATCGATGTGAGAAAAGTGGTTGTTTCATTCCTATAGCCCATGGCCTAAGAGGAAAATAATCCTTTCTCAAAAATAGTATGCTGTCAAGAGATTTTCACTTCAATTTTTAAAAAGAGTGAACAGTCATAGAGATGGCAAAACACACCATAAACACTACTGGAATTAAGCATTTAATTGAACTGGGTGTACATGAGTTTTCAACATTCTAGCAGTCTAGTTTATTTTATTGTTAGCATTTGACAACATCCTGTTTCTAAGCTATAATCCTTAAGGTTCTAGGAAAAGCCTGAGGAATTCACATATATAAAGCAACTGAATTATTAATAACAATTTCAGTGCTAATTATGTTCACAAATTAACTCTAAGAGTATTAGCTCTGGATTTAAAGCCATGGTGAAAACTATTTATTATAGAGCTTTATGACTCATATTAAAGAAGTTAATCTATCATCTAGAGAATGGGAAGACAATTTCAGCCAGATCAAAAATTTGCTTTTTAATTCAGGACTATTGGTAGCCAGTGGTATGAAAAGAGGATAGGTCAAAGAGGCACACATACATAACAAGAAAGAAACAAATTATTTTTTTTATGGACCAAATTTATCTGGTAATGTGTAATGTACGAAAGAACTAACCTGAGTCATTGCAAACAGATGACAAGTTGCAGATATTTCTCTGGGATTTGACTCCTGAAATAAATAAATAAACAAACAAACAAATAAACAAATAAACAACAAACCAACCCACCCACCCACCTAGCTGGTTAAGCATATCAACCCTTGAACTTGTATAGTACATGGCAAAGAAAATTCACAAAGGAAGGCATTAAATGTGGATCAAGCATATCAAGAAGCTGAATATAACTGGCTGGATGAATTTCACAAAGACTAAAGTAATGAATGAGTTTTCATTTAGTTGGTCAGCTATGGAACTTGAAATCTTTACTGTTCTTTAGTACACCAGTTCTGACTCTGAACAGTTTCCAAAAACTTCTGTCCCATTTCCAATGAACCCTTCTCCTGTCTGACAGAAACAGAATACCATGGGAAAAAAAAATCAACTGTAGAGCCTTTAAATGTAATAGCCTTTAATTCCATTTTCTCCTTTTTCTGGGTAGGAGAATCTGGAATACTCTGGTGTTGATCTTAGCTCTTTATGTAAATGTATGTATTAAATAACATTAATGACATGTTGTTTCATGAGAAAAAAACTATAAAATTCAAAACACATTTGTTCAGCACCTACTATATTCTACAGATTTGGGGAGGTTCCCCATCCAGACCCTGCCCTCAAGGAGCTTACAATCTAATGGGTAATCCCAGCCAGGAAATAATAAGTTTTAGTGATGGCCAGGACGTCAGAACACACAGAAATTCAAAGGAGGCAGAGGTGAATGAGAGATGAAATGAGACATACTGGAGCAGAGCACTTCATACAGATTAATCTGAAAAACGCTCTCTCCTTTGGTGAAAGGGGAAAGTACATTTCTTCTTTAAAAAGCGCTTAAGGCTTACTTCTCTAGAAATCCTTCCTTAATTGGATCCTTTTGGTGAAGTGTAAGAAATCTATAGTAAATGGGAAAGGCAAATGATGACAATGTCCTAAGCAAACTGCCAAGGGGGGAAAATGTTACGTTAAGGAGTCTTTTGGCCTCCTTGTTAAATCTTATTTGGTCAGAATTATATATGAAATGCCAAACTGCTGGTTCATGTCCACTGCATATTGTAAGTCCTTGGTTTTGTTTTTATGACAAAGCTACTTTGGATGAAAGTTAAAATTACAATTTGACTTAATTATGGTTTCTGCCAGAATGATTTACTGGTGTATAGGCATCATGCTTCAGCTAAGAGTTTTGATTCTGTGAACAAACTGAATTTAAGTGCCAAGTCACCTGATGTGTAGAATTCTATACCGTTCCACAACAACGTTAACCACACCAAAAGAGAAATATTTCATTTTAAATATACTTGCTTATAGATATAACTCATTAACCATATATGTGAGGCAAATATAGAATATATAGATGGTAGATAGTATTATTTTCAATGTCCTTTAAACTACTGGCCCATTGCTTGCTGAGTTTTTCATTCTACCATGTCTCATCTTTCTCTCAATTTTACCTGCATATCTATTTCCAGTGATGTGTATTTTTTTGCAGGTCATTCATACTGAAAAATTTCTCTCCTATTTCTAGGGCTATTATCTGTAATTTCCTCCAAGGACATGGCCAGAGGCCATTCCTTAAATCCTGAGTAAGAAAACTATCAGAAAAGGGCCAGATAGTAAACATTTTAGGCTTTGCAGGTCATATGGTCTCCGCTGCAGGCAACTACGTGACTCTGTAAACAAATGGGAAATGACAGTGTTGCAATAAAACTTCATTTACAAAAACAGGAAGGGAGTCAGAGTTGTCTCATTGGCAATAATTCGCTAACCCCTGCTTCAAATTAACAAGAAGCCTCTGTTAAGCTTATCTGTGTAATACTGCAGCAGGTACTTAAAAGTACTGTACATCTTTTCCTTGCTTTAAAAAGAATTTGAGGTTCATCTCTAACTCTTTTACTAATTTCATGCTGTTGATAAACTCATTATTTCTAGCCCTTCTCTTTCCTATGCCGCTTAGACATGTTAGAAATACTTGTGGGGCTGGGGGTGTAGCTCAATGGTAGAGCACACGCAGCCTTAGGTTCTAACACCAACAGAAAAAAAAAGAACAGGAAAGAAAGACTTGTGGAATCATTTCCTTTATCTGCATGCATGTTCATGTTAGTTACTTGATCTCCTCAGACTAACAGATTCTTTAGGGTGGGCACTGTGCCTGATCATTATTATCTAGCCCCAAACAACTAGTGCAACTTCAGGTACCCAGTGCATACATGTCTATTCATTAAGAACAGATTTTATTTTTTAAAAGATAAGAAAAAAGCAGAAGAAATTATAACCACCAGCCATTTGCTTAATTTTACTTTAGTTATAAAAAAGAAAGTCTTGATATTGATAATAAGTCATACCTGATGCATTGAAGGTTTTTACTATAGTGATTTTAGCTTTTTCTGCAAAGAAGCAATTTAGATATTAGAGCAGAATTGTGACTTGTTTTTTTAAAAAAAAAAACCAATTTGCCATGAGCATCATTTTTTAAAGTGAAGTGCTAAGAAAATCACACTGTTGACATCTTTAAGACACTACTGGTGATCTCAGCAGCAGAGTGGATGGTACTCATATACGCAGAACATGCCACATTGCCATGGTGTGGGTCTGCCACCACACTCCAGTGCTGTGTAATTCTGCTTCAGTTTCCGGGTGCTGCTGCTAGACCAATGGATTTGATTTACACTTCAGATATGTAAAATTAAGTCACTATCAGGACCTTCAGGTGATAGGTTGTAAAGAGCAGGTGACCCAGAGTAAAAAGTAATGTGAATTAGTATAAATGGTTTTTGAAACATTGCTGATACAGTCTACAATCAAGTACCCCACTATTTTCTTTAGGAGGTAATACAATACTATCCCCACTATACTGAGATAAAATTACTCTCAGAAAGGTAAGACCATCCAACTATAATCAAACAATAAGTTCACAGTAGAACCAGGGATGTTGAAAGTTAGATAAGCAAACATTCACCTGCTTTGAAGAAGCAAACATTAGAAATATCTTTCCAACATGGTTTGGAGACAGAGTCCATGGTTTGTTCGCCAGATAATGGCAAACCAGTTCAGAAATCTGTACTGTAAGGAAAGCCAACTACAAGAGGCTGTATTCCAGGCACAGATTTGCCAAGAAGCTCTGTATCTTAGGGAAGATGGGCAAAATCTGAAGAAAAGACAAAGCTCAGAGCTTGGAGATACACTTAAAGAACAATACTAATACTGACAGTTTCAGAAACCTTGTGTGTGTGTGTGTGTGTGTGTGTGTGTTTTATTGTTGAGTTCATTTCAATGTGTGACCCTCTGGGAATGGGTTGATGGTAGTTGTAAAGGCAGAAAATATTCTGCATCATCATTGACAGCCCTTTAAATTCATTATATATATTTCCCCAATATTCTTTTCCAGAGAAAACAACACCATTATGAAATGAATTTCTGATTTTAGTAACTAAAGTGCTTTTGGAAAAAAATATTCAACCTCACTAGTAATTAAGAATGAAAAACAAAATCTAAGGAATTGGGAACAAGATTTAATAATACATAATGTAGTCTCAGCAAAGACATAGTGACATTCTAATCCACTGCTGGCAGGGATGTTGCTGGGTACAACTTTTCTAGAAGGTAATTGGTAAGTAGGTATCAAGGTCTTTAAGATAGTCATACTGCTGACCCATTATGTCCAATCCTTGGAATGTATTGTACAGAAATCAAGGATAAATGCAAAGATGCTAGCATCTGGATGCTCACTGCAACAATTTCTATTAAAAAATAGAAACAACTTTAATGCTCAAAATATGGCATACAAAGGAATATTATCAAGCCATTAATAGCAAGGGACACTGGCAAGTTCTTACAAATTAATATGAAGTCAAACAGCAAGACTGAAAAAAATCTACCTCTGAATTTTGCAAAGGATATATATGTAGGGTATATGTATATAAATACACATGATACTGAATAAAATATATACCAAATTATTAACAGTAGTAGTCTTACAAAAATGAGAACCAAGACATATCATGTAAAGTACAAGATCCCAATGATGAATGTAACTGCATTGTTTGCTTTAAATGTACCAATAAACTTAATGGGGGTGGGTAACATTAAAGATGATTTCTATTTCCTTCTTTGTATTTCTCTATATTTTCCTTTTTATTTATTTACTTATTTTTTTGTACTGGGGATCAAACTCATTACTTCTGCAAGGCAGGTGAGGTGCCACTGAGCTAAATCCCAAGCCTATATTTTCCATTTTTTCCAAGCCAGTGTTTCACTATGATAATCACAATAACAATACATGCTATTTAAAATGAAGTGCTATAGCTACAATAGCTCAGAAATTTCAGAGTGTGGTGCCAATAGAATCACAGTTCGATGTCGAAGCCAAAGGACTACTCTATCAATAGTTCAAGGTGCAGGAAAGTGAGCAAAGAGACAAAGAAAACTCTTCTCTAACCCAATGGACCACTCAAGAAGTCCAAGAAGTCAAACTATGATATTTGGAAATAACTTGATATTACCTGTTTTGTTTAAAGTAGACAATACGCTTGAAGTGGTATCTGAAATAAAACAATAAAAATTAGCATAACTACTGGCATGGTGAACAAATATGAGTTTTCCCAGGTTCCTTAAATATCTCACTTTTGCCATAATCTGGGAAATCTGAAGAGAGTTTTGCACAAGCCAACTGGCAGTACTACATGCAGCTGTTTCCCATCCTCATCACCTTGTCCATTTTTCTATGCCCAGAGACAAGTGCCCAGCAAATGTTCATTCTTTTAAAATGTATTTCCAAAATGCCAATTGTGTGTCTAACACACAGTAACACTTCTATAATCACAGATTTAAATAAAGTCATATGTTGCTTAACATTTTGTCCCCCTTTTTTCCTCTATGATAATGAAAGTGCCTGAGGGACATAGAATTCCAACTCTAATTCAACTTTAATACCAACTTTAACAGACAGCCTTTAAATAAAAAACAGCCTTGGAGCTGCTTAATACATTTTTAGCAGTGGTACACTCATAAAGTAAGTTGGAATAATTTTAAATTTAGATTTTTTTTGTGTGTGTATGAGAGGGCGAGGTACTGGGGATTGAACCCGGGGATTTCACACTGAGCTACCTCCCCAGTCCTTTCTTATATTTTGTTTTTGAGACGGAGTCTCACTAAGTTGCTGAGTTGTCTGGCCTGGGCTCGAATTTGCAATCCTTCTGCCTCAGCCTCTCAAGAGTGCTGGGATTACAGGTCCATAATACCATGCCCAGCAAAATTGGCTATCTTAAACCTTGCATTTAACTAGCTCTTAAAAATTTTTTTGATTCCGATTTAAAATTCATTTTAAAGTCTATTCTATTAGTATCGCTTTAAATTAAAATCATTCTGGAATTTATTATTCTTGATGAAATTTTAGGGAAAAAAGTATGTATTTTTAAAATTAATTTCATTGGTACATTTAAGGTATACAATATAATGACATTCACTGTTGGAAATTTGTACCTTTACATAATCAATCTTGGTTCTTATTTTTCCCATCCCCCTGCCCTCCTTTCAACCTCTCCACCCCTCCCTATCTACAAAGACTGTTTCCACTTTTTTTCATTTTCTCATAATAGGACACATGTGTAAATACTGAATTGTTTCTCTAGTGTGAGAAACTGAAAGTGTAAATAAGGACTAAAAGGTATAACAGATAGTGTGAAATAGGAAGAAAATGGGCAAAGGGGAAGGGGAAATGGGAGGAGTAGGGGGAAAGAAAGAAGGGAATGAAATTAATATGAGAAAATGAAAAAAAGCATTGTATTGAATTACTGCACACACACACACACACACACACACACACACACACACACACCCAAAAACTGGCTGCCAAAGCTAAACTTAAGATATTCTTGTCACTGTAAAAAGTAGTTACACATAAAAATGATAATCAATCTTTGGTCCTCCCCATTGGGCTGAATTTAAACAAGTTTCGATCAGAGAGAAGGAAACAATCCCCCTCAAATATAGCAAAGTTCGTTATCCTTTTTTCCAGCAGTAGTAGGCCATTTTTTCTCTTTTCACACTATTTAAAAATTGATAAAATCATCTGTAAAAAAGGCTGTCTTTGAACATCCTGTGCCTCCAAATCTATGTTGAATCATATTGAAGTCATTAGATGTGCTTTTCACATTTAAACAATCTGTTGTGTAAAACTTGTTGGCATTGTGTTGTACAGCAAATGAAATGGAACTTGAAATGTGATCAATATTCTTTTCTTGTCTAGAACAGTTAGAGTGTAGAGAATGCTGGGAAAATTTTATCTTTTAATCAGAAAGTTTAGATCACACTTGAGAGCTGATAGGTTTTATTTTTGGTTTGGGGGGTTATTTGAAATTATTCAGTGTATTAAGAAATAATATAGAGGGCCGGAGATTTAGATCAGTGGTTCCGCCACCTGCCTTGCAAGCACAAGGACCCAAGTTTGATCCCTGGTACCCCCCCAAAAAAAACCAAAAAAACAAAAAACAAAAACAAACAAACAAACAAAAGAAATAATATAGAGATGGAAATCTTCAACAGCATTCATTATACTTCTATTCACATTAAAGGTTAGCAATTTTCACTTGCTTCAGAAAAATTCTTACCGTTGAGGCTTGTAGTTTCAACCTCTTTTTGTCCAGAGGAGAAAAACAATACAAAGCTATAATTAAAACTTAACAAATTGTGATAAATATAGTTTTAAAATTTTTTTAAAAATCTTGCCTGGAGTACCATTCAAGGAAGGGACAAAACTGATAAGAGATGATTCAGCTGCAAAAGAGAAAAAGAAAAAAATTAAATATATATTTTGAAATAATTATTTATTATTTTAAGGAGTCAGATCTTTTGAGATATAACTATAAAATAAATGGAAAACATGCTATGAGACCCATGATCACAAAACCTGCTACTATCTATAAAATATCATGGAAATAAGTTTAAGAACCACATCAAAATTAAAGAAATGCTACATTCAAAAAATTTCAGCAAAGAGTTCTAAAAAATGTTTTAAATAACTTGTTGAACTATAATCATGAAATATATTGGCACTTTGGCTCCATTCTGTTATAATGATGCTGGCAACTCTTTCCACTGTGAGTTTAGGATTACCAAAAAAAATTGCTACTACTCAATATTGTACTATCTAACACAATTTCCCAGTAAGCTATTTTAAAATATGGCTGCTATTAAGACAATCAATCAAGTTATAAACTTCCTGTAGAACGGTTCCACTTACACTAAGACATCAACCTATGACACACATCTCACATGTTTAAATATTTAAAAGATCCAATGACTTGACCTCTACCTAAACATAAGAAAAACAAACACATATTTTACAACTAAAATTAAATTTTGCGGTAAGGAGTCTGACTTGCAGTTTGTGTGGACAAAATTTGGGTGTGTCAAGGCGCTTGGCTGACCTGTCTGTTTGGGGCTGCTCATTCCAACCTCAACAGTCTGCTTCCAGAGAATGTGTGAATATGAGCAAGTTTTCCCTCCGGTACTCAGTTTTCTCACCTATAACATGAATATAATGACTCCTACGTTGTAAAGTTGACAAGGAGGAGGTGATGTCTGAAAACTTCCAGGCACACAGTATGTGCATAAGAAGGAACTGCCTTTATTATCAATTTGATTTAACGAAATAAGTGAATAACAGTAGGTCATTTTCATACAACTAAGGATAGAATGGGAGTTGCCTCACGCCTCACCATTCTAACACATGGTATGCCAGAAAGAATACAGAAATAGGAATCAGAGAAGCCATGGATTGCCTCCATGATTTGGACAAGAAGCTGTGATATCTTAGACAAATTACTCAGCTGTTCCAGGTTTCATTCCCTCATCAACTAAGATGGGGCGGACCACTTATCTCTAAGGTTGAGGTCCAGCTAACAGTCTTGAGTTGGGGTACAGATCCCAGTCCCTGCCTATATGGACTCTAGTTACAAGTTTCTCTTTAATTTATTTGCTTTTTCACGCTAGTGAGTATCTACCCCTTAGAACCCTTTTGAAAAATATTCTTTCAGTGAGGGCATTGAGGGAGTATGTTTAAGGGAAAAAAATCTCATCTTATAAATATAAGAACAAGTGGCATGTTTAATTTCTTGATACTCTTTAGGAAACTTGTGAACTAGAATACCAAAAATAACTGAAGAACTTCAGCAACTATCATAATGAAAATCCACAATTTATTCCCCACTGATTTATTTCCCAGCTCTGTTTGGCAATATAGAAGGATCGATATGCCTGTCTTCGTATCTGTGTTTGCTATTGATTTTCCAGATGTGGGTTTAATGACATAATTTAATTAAGCTACTCGGAGGAAAACAATTTTGCTGTATCAGACCATATGCCATACTAGGTGGAAAACTTTTAGAATAATAATTTTCTTAAAATTCCCCAGTCAGAAAATAAGTCTTACCAGATGCTGATGACAAACTGGAGTTATCAGCATTTTCTGTTGAAGAAAAAGGTTATTTAAAATTAGCTAAGTTTATGCACATATTTGTAGGAGTGTAAAATCTATAATAGCAATGAATGTAAACTGAGTTGTAAAGCTACCAAAAGAGGGCAGTATGTTAATTTACTATTATTTTGTACACCCTGATACAGTACTTTTCTATTCTCTACAAGACATCTCTCTGGTGAAGCAGTCCTCCCAATTTTTAACTGTGCTGTATCATATAATGATTTGGTGCATTTCAATCTAAAAGGGATGGCTAAGAACTTCAGTCGCTCGGAAACACTTGGTAAAATGTGTAGAAATAAGTGTATATGCCTGCGTAAATTTCACTTCCTCTAACTACACTTCTTTTTAGCACAGACTTTGTGCCTATTATTGCCACATCTTGATCATGAATTCAACTACATCAGACATCACCGGATATATAAACTGCAAGAGCTGCTGAATTATGTATTTTGGGAACATGCTCTGATCCCTAAAAAGAAAAGTAATTCTATTTTTTCCTCTTTGAAAAATAATACATGCTTACTGGAGAAACTTCAGAAATAACAGATAAACAAAAAGAAGAAAATAAAAACTACTTAAAGTCTCATCACCTGTAGATAAATGATATTAACACTTCAGCATCTATTGTAAATGTTTATCTAGATATATGCATACATGTGTTTATGTATTTATATGTATAAGAAGGATTACACCACAACAAACTAGGTATAACTTGATTTTTGGGTAGTATATCCTGAAATTGTTCTATATTATTAAACAATTTTCCACAAAATTGTGATGGCTGTATAGCATTTCATTGACTAGATGTGTCACTTATATAACAAATTTCCTTTTATTAGGTATTGGTGTGAGTAATTTTTCATAATTACAAGGCTGGATTTTTGTATACATATATGGCCATTTCTTTCAAAACTGCCACGAATTTTGATCGTCAAAATGCCTTACAGAAAATTTGAACCATTTATACTACCCTTTGCCGTACACAAGAGTTTTATTTTCCCAAACCCTCACCATAGGGTGTTGCACATTGTTTTAATGTTTCTAATCACAAAGGAAAAGTTCTTTGCTTAGTGGTATTCTAGCATACAATTCATAGCAAAAAAATAAGTATGTTTAGAAACTTAACTGCCTGATGAAACACACCTAGTGGCCTCTAGGTGCTTATTTTACTGAAATGATGGCAGGGTACTGATTACTTCATGGGGCAATTAAAATCACAATTCTGCGGGAGAGCAGGACTGAAAGAACTCTCAAGTTCATAATTCCCCTGCAGCCAACAGTAGGCAGAGTGGTTAGGTGCCTTGGGGCTCTAACTTAATTGGAATTACCATTTCCTTAGTCTTAGTTATTCAATATAGCCCTCGTGCTACTTTAATATTCAACCAATCAAAGTATGTTCAGTTAACTTCTTAAAGAGTTCATTTAAAAAATACTGTTGGGAGCAGACAGTTCACATATTGGCATGAGTTCATTTGTGTTGGCTGAATTCTTCTGTTTATCTAGCAAAGCTCTACCACACTGGGCACTGAGGAAAAATCAACATTCAATACAGGCTACCCTGAGAATGACACCTGTCAGTGTGGGTAAGGGAAGTGGAGTGGGGCAGGAGTGCGGCAAAAGCAGGAAGCAGGATGAAGGCACTGGGAGAGAGCTGAGTATCGGGGAACAGGAATTGAGATTCATGTTGAAGGACAGTAAAAGCTGATACTGCTTCCTTTACAACTTGGCCCAGTGGCTGTTCATAGGCAACAATGGTCTCTATGTCCAAATCTTTTGATCCAGGAGAAGGGGCTGATTTGAGTTTCACGTTTTAGATACTACAGGAAATGGGCAACTTGAGGGTAAGAAGAAAGCCAGAGGAAAGAAGGAAGTTTCCTGAGGTGCCCACAAAACTAGGCTGCCACATCTGGCTAGACAAATTTGACAGCTACAGACTCATAATCAAGAGCTAAAACTTGATCAAAAAAGAGATTTTGCTGATTTTGATCACAGGCAGAGCTGGCCTCTGTGGAACTTCCATGGTTTCTAGGATACTTCAAAAGAACAGATAATGATCTACTTTTTAAATTTATTTATGTAATTTGGTTTATTTTATTTTATTTTGGTTTTCACTATGTAGTTAAGGCTGGCCTTGAACTCTCACTATGTAGCCCAGGCTGGCCTTGAACTCGCAGTGATCCTCCTGCCTCAGCCTCTCTAGTGCTGGGATTACAAGAATGTGCCACCACGCCTGGATCCTATTTTTTGAATTAGTGTATGTTTATCATATGTAATATTTACATTCCTTGCGCAGGGTTGGCTCATGTACATACCGCATTTTAAGTCCCCCTTCTCCCTTTTTCCTTCCCTCCCCCTCCTTTTCTTCTTTCCTTCCTCCCTCTTCCTATTTGAGAAAGCTCTTTCTCCCTACTTTCTGTTATCTATCTCCATGTTTATAGTAGCACAATTCAAAATAAATAAGTCTTGGAAGCAGCCTATATTAATCAACAGGTGGATAGATATATAAAATGTGGTATTTATTCACAGTAGAGTTCTGCTCCGCCATAGAGAAAGATACTTGAGTCATTCGTAGAAAAATAGATGCACCTTGAGACCATAATGTTAAGTGAAATAAATCAGACACACAAGCTTAAATATCACATGGTTTCTCATATTAAAAACCCAAAATATAAAGACAATGATCTACTTTGATGAAAGAAGGAAATCTAATAAATTAAGGCGAGAAGATTTCTAAATTATTATTGTCTACTTTCTCCTTTTGGCATTTTTACCCCCTGTGGAAACCCAATTGCGCAGTGATTCACTTTTTCTGTCTCATGTTGCTCCGTATCATTCCTCCTATTGAAGGACAGTAAAAGCTGATACTGCTTCCTTTACAACTTGGCCCAGTGGCTGTTCATAGGCAACAATGGTCTCTATGTCCAAATCTTTTGATCCAGGAGAAGGGGCTGATTTGAGTTTCACGTTTTAGATACTACAGGAAATGGGCAACTTGAGGGTAAGAAGAAAGCCAGAGGAAAGAAGGAAGTTTCCTGAGGTGCCCACAAAACTAGGCTGCCACATCTGGCTAGACAAATTTGACAGCTACAGACTCATAATCAAGAGCTAAAACTTGATCAAAAAAGAGATTTTGCTGATTTTGATCACAGGCAGAGCTGGCCTCTGTGGAACTTCCATGGTTTCTAGGATACTTCAAAAGAACAGATAATGATCTACTTTTTAAATTTATTTATGTAATTTGGTTTATTTTATTTTATTTTGGTTTTCACTATGTAGTTAAGGCTGGCCTTGAACTCTCACTATGTAGCCCAGGCTGGCCTTGAACTCGCAGTGATCCTCCTGCCTCAGCCTCTCTAGTGCTGGGATTACAAGAATGTGCCACCACGCCTGGATCCTATTTTTTGAATTAGTGTATGTTTATCATATGTAATATTTACATTCCTTGCGCAGGGTTGGCTCATGTACATACCGCATTTTAAGTCCCCCTTCTCCCTTTTTCCTTCCCTCCCCCTCCTTTTCTTCTTTCCTTCCTCCCTCTTCCTATTTGAGAAAGCTCTTTCTCCCTACTTTCTGTTATCTATCTCCATGTTTATAGTAGCACAATTCAAAATAAATAAGTCTTGGAAGCAGCCTATATTAATCAACAGGTGGATAGATATATAAAATGTGGTATTTATTCACAGTAGAGTTCTGCTCCGCCATAGAGAAAGATACTTGAGTCATTCGTAGAAAAATAGATGCACCTTGAGACCATAATGTTAAGTGAAATAAATCAGACACACAAGCTTAAATATCACATGGTTTCTCATATTAAAAACCCAAAATATAAAGACAATGATCTACTTTGATGAAAGAAGGAAATCTAATAAATTAAGGCGAGAAGATTTCTAAATTATTATTGTCTACTTTCTCCTTTTGGCATTTTTACCCCCTGTGGAAACCCAATTGCGCAGTGATTCACTTTTTCTGTCTCATGTTGCTCCGTATCATTCCTCCTGGCCCAACATAAAGATAGCCCCACAGGCCTTACACTTTACCAAGTATCAGCCTATGTTTCTCTTGGGCTCTCTCCCAACTCACTTCCCATTTATTACAATGGAGGGGTGGTCGTCATTTCCAATGAGTCATACATTTGGGCTCCATGCCACTCTTAGGAGCCAAAACATTTCCATCATTAAAAAGATTCATAACAAAGACAAACATTTAAAATTTTCAAATTTTCCTTTGGAAACCTACAAAGAGCAAATTTTAAAGCATTATTCATTTAGTAAAGTCTTAATTTAAGACAATAAATAAAAGTACTATGATCTGCTTATAAAATTTACTCAATATCACTGGTGATTTTTTAAAAAACAAATTCCATATTACGATGAGAAAGTTTGGAGAGCATATGTTTTTAATGGAAGCCAAACAGAGCCAGAGAAACTGGAAACTCAAGAAACCGCCACCTTGATGAAGACTCTTTCCTTTCATCACCTCCCCAGCATTTTTTTTCAAGTTATTGCTACCACCTTCCAAACTCTAATCCCACGTGGCCCAGTGTGGTCCCAGCACTGCCATGTGAATGCCCTACTGTCATTGCCTCTCCAATTCAACATATCCAAGAAGTCAACCTCATCACCCCACATCATTTCTATACTTGATCCATTCCTAAATTTAATAGTATTGCTGATAACACCAGCCAAGTAATTCCAGTAGAAAACTTCAGTGTACTATTCTCCTGTTGCTGCTGCAACAAACTACCATAAGCTCAGTGGCTTAAAACACAAATTTGCCATCTTAAGTGTTTTGTAGAACAGAAGTCCACCACTAATCTCACGCTACTAATCTCACACTGTCAAATTGATGACAGGCTATGTTCCTTGCTGGAGGCTCTAAGAGAGAATCTGTTTCGTGCTTACTTGGGTTATTGGCAGCATTCAGTTTCTTTCAGTCATAGAAATGAAGTCTGCATTTTTCTTGCTGGCGATAAATTGAAAGCTATTCTC